TCCCAGACAGTCGAGCCCACTCATGAGGGGGTACCACTTGTCATTATCGATTGAGGCTCGTATCTTCTAGTCACTGAGGTGTGCTATGACATTATTATGATTTACCAGTGACTGCAGTCCCTTTATGGCTTCTTCCTCCATTCTTTGTGTACTACTTTTCAGTCTTGTGTCTCTGGTCATGCTGTTGCAGAGTCTGGTTTCTGGTCATTTTCTTCTCTCCGTGTCATCTGTTTTATGATGTATGCCCTGTGATGCATGGAACGCTTATGCATGAGGTAACAAGTTATCTATTACTCCTTATCATAACAGGTTACACTCAAGGCTACTTGAAGGATTCCTCGATAATAGGGACTCAGGTGACCTTGAGTCTAACCTTTATACGAGGTCAGGTGCAGGCGATAAAACCGAACGCCTCACTCTAAGCCGTGTCGCCACTGGCAGGGGGGATAACCCTGACTACTCGACTGTGTGACAAAGGCTGCTTGTAAGTTCACTCCTAATTTTCATAAAACTTTCCAAAATCCTGGATGACAGTCTGCCAGTCCACCAACCCACCGCACTCGGGCCCGGGAGGGACATCAAAACAGGCCCTGGAACAGTGGGGACGCGACAGCGCGCGCGTGCGGGAACATGCGAGAGGGGCGTATGCTCTTTCTCTCTCTCTCTCTCTCTCTCTCTCTCTCTCTCTCTCTCTCTCTCTCTCTCTCTCTCTCTCTCTCTCTCCACGATAGGGCGACATGGTGAAGAGTATTCAGGCACGTCTCTCTCTCTCTCTCCCTCTCCGCGACAGGGTCACGTGGCGAGGAGGCCACGTCTCTCTGTTTCTGTCCTTCCGCGATAGGGCGACGTGGCGAGGGGGCTACGTCTCCGTCTCTCTCTCTCTCTCTCTCTCTCTCTCTCTCTCTCTGATAGGACTATGTGGCGCAGATGTAATCAAGTACAGGCGCATGCGCGCGGGGCACGCTTACGTGGGCTTGCTTGATTCCGATGGCTCAGCGCTGACGTGAGGTGTTACGTGGCGTGCACTCGATGGCCATGACGACGATGATCGCAACTCTCTCTCTCTCTTCAGCAGCTCGATGACGATGACAAAGATGATGACGATCTTCGAGCTCTCTCTCTCTCTCTCTCTCTCTCTCTCTCTCTCTCTCTCTCTCTCTCTCTCTCTCTCTCTCTCTCTTCGGCGCGCGCTCGATGGTGATCACGACGATGGTTCCCCCTTCGCCATCTCTCTCTCTCTCTCTCTTTCTCTCTCTCTCTCTCTCTCTCTCTCTCGCTCTCTCTCTCTCTCTCATTGCTCCCTTTCCTCCATTCACCGTCGCTATGCGTTTCCGTAATCTGCAGTCTTATTGCTCTGCGAGTTGCCTCCTTCATTTTCCTTCACCGCCCTCCGTTTCTTCTTTATCCTTCTCGCCATATAGAGTGCTAGCCAGCACTCTTGCTCGACTTCGGAGGCACGAAGGCCGAAGGCTTTTCCTCTTTCCCTCTCAGCCTCCTCTTCCAGCGACCTTGGGTTCTCTCTTTCCTTCTCGATGTACCTCTCCGCCTCCCTGTCCCGTTCCCTATGCTTCTCCTCTTTAAGCCGCTGTCTCTCCTCTTCCTCTATGTCTGCTTGAAGCTCCCATGTGTATTTGAGTTGCCATAGGTGTCTGCCACCTGTGCACTGGGCTACATGCACAACGTCCCTTCTAGAGAACAAGTTGTTGTCGGGTCATTGCATGTTGAAGGGGTTTATGGACCCTCCCTCGACACAGCTCCTGTTGCTCCTCGACCTTAACGCGTTGTCATGCACCATGGTGTTTTGGGGAGAGAGAGAGAGAAAGAGAGAGAGAGAGAAAAAAAGAGAAAGTGTAGGATGGAGACAGAGACAGATAGAGCGATGGAGAGAGAAAGGTAGGATGTGGAGAAGCAGCGTAGAGGAGTTCCACTTAGCAGCAGCGTAGACGAGTTGGAGTTTGACATGCTCTGTACTCGGCTTGGTCAACGTTTTATACAGTAAACGTTGACCTGGCTCTTGCCCCGGGCTGTGCGTTGACCTGAGTTTGGGCCCAGGCAGATACCCATGTTGACGTGAGTGTGGACCTGGGCGTGTTCTCAGGTTTACATGGGCCTGTGCCAGGACCTCAGCCAAGCATCTGTTTGATTCTCTGTCTGCCTGTCTGTGTGTCTTAACCTGTGCAAGGACGCAGACAGGCATGCACGCAGAGAGGCAGGCGAACTGACACGCAAACAGACACGACGACAGACAGACAGACACATAGGCAGACAGTTAGGCAGATAGGATTGACTTTTTTTTTTTTTTTTTTTTTTTGACCCCCTCTTTCAAAGCAGAGGTCAAAGTTCTAGCCCATGCCCAGTCTCACACGTTGCCCTAGCGTTGGTATGCCCCTGCAACCCCGTTGACCTAGGTTTGTGCCCGACGCTGTTTTCTGGTCTACCTAGGGTCGGACTTGGGATTGGACCTATGGTTGGACATGTGGACGCACGGAAGCAGGACCTGGTCTCACCCTGTACCTCCATTGACCTGTGTCTAAGCCCGCGTTTGGTGAGGTTTACGTAAGCCGCCTCGCAGGCCTGTGTCGATGTTGACTGGGCATGTGTCGTGTTGACGTGCACCTTGGGAGGCAAGCAGACAGACAGAGAGACAGGTAGGAAGACGGGGAAAGACGGAGACAGGGAGGCAGGCATGGCAGACAGGCACACAGACATGCAGCACACAGGCAGGTAGGCATGCAAGAGTCAGGCAGGCATGCAGCGGACAGGCAGGCAAGCATGCAGCAGACGGGCACGCAGGCAGGCATACATGCAACAGTCAGGCAGGCATGCAGCAAATAGGCAGGCAAGCATGCAGCAGACGAGCACACGGCGGTTGACGTGGACCTTGGGAACATGCAGCAGTCGGGCAGGCATGCAGCAGACAGGCAGGCAGGCATGAAGCAGACAAGCAGGCAAGCATGGAGTACGCAGACATGCAGCACACAGGCAGGCAGCATGCAGGCAGGCAGGCATGCACCAGTCAGGCAGGCATGCAGCAGACAGGCAGGCAGGCATGCAGCAGACAGACAGGCAGGCAAGCATGCAGCAGACTTTGCCTGGGTCCACGGTCTGGACTTTGGATGGGTCAACAACCTAACTGAACCACCCAACCACTCAATCACCCAGCCACGCTACCACCCAACCACCCAACGAACCACCTAACCGAACCACTCAACGATTAATCCACCCAACCATGTAACCAATCACCCAACCACCCAACCACCCAACCACCCAACGAACCGCCTAATCCTACCACCCAACGATCAGTGGCAGACGTTAACTTTTTGTCGTTGCTTTTTTTTTTTTTTTTTTTTTTTTTTTTTTTTTTTTCCCCCCCCCTTTTAAAGGAGAAGGCCAAGTTTTAACCCGGGTCCAGGGCCTGTCTCTTATACACATCTAGATGTGTATAAGAGACAGATCTTGCACTGTCTCAGGGTGTTTAGATACTACATTATGGGACGAAGATTCATCCTAAGAACGGATTCCACGACAGTAATTGGGGCTGTTAAGAGACATCAGCAAGTAGATGCTACGGTCAGTAGGNCCCGCCCCTTTCAAAGCAGAAGTCCAAGTTCTAACCCGTGTCCAGTCCCACACGTTGCCCTGGCGCTGGTCTGCCCCTGCAACCCCGTTGACCTGGGTCTGTGCTCGACGCTCTTTTCATGTCTTCCTAGGGTCGGACTTGGGATTGGAACTGTGGTTGGACCTGTGGTTGGACCTGTGGACGCACGGAGGCAGGACCTGGTGTCGCCCTGTACCTCCATTGACCTGTGTCTTGGCCCGCGTGTGGTGAGGTTTACGTAAGTCGCCTCGCAAGCCTGTGTCGATGTTGACTGGGCCTGTGTCATGTTGACAGGGGCCGCGGGATGTACAGCTAACGCACCCAGCTAGAGCGGCGAAGGGACGATGCGACCGCGCACCGTCTCGGCGGCTCGTGGAAACTATTCCGCTTTTATCCCTAAGTTGTCTTCGTGTTTTGTTATGATGTGTAACTCCTGCGTGACATGGTCGAGAGGGCCCTCGCTCACGCGAGGGCCGATACGCTCGACAGGTGGCGCCATTGTGGGGGAATACGGCAAACTACCGTTGTCCCTGGTGGAACGACACTCGGGTAACAAAATGTTAAGAAATTATAATCTAAGCTTGTTTTTGTTTTGTTTGCAAATGAAGAAACAGGAAAAACTTTTCAGGGATTGAAAAACAAGAAGTAGTTGATTGAAATAAGAATGTATGGTGTTATTGTTCTTGTGTTACTCAAGATATCTGGCGGAAATGGAGACGAGAGGAGAAATGACATCAAGGAATTGGCCAAGGCGATTCAAGAATCATCCGCACAAAGGGATCAACTTCCAAAAGTGGATGTGCCTTTGTTCGATGGCAACCACGCCTCTGGCTGGGCAGAAAACTTCGAGCAAATTGCAAGTTGTCGAGAATGGACTGAGTCAGAGATGTTGCAGAAAGTGAAACGATATTGTAAGGTCGGATATAAGGAGGAGTTTATGGCCCTGGTGAGCGAATCAAAAGATTGGGCTGAGTTCAAAGAAAAATTGTTGGACAAATATCAGCTGGAGGATCAGCTATTCGATCTGGCTGATCTCCGAAAAGTTGTCTGACGAACGTTCGGGTCAACTAGACAATTTTGGACGGAGTTTGAACGAATCGCTCGACTGATTCCTGATTTGCCAGATAAAGACAAATGCATCATCTTTCAGGACAACTTCTCAGAAGTCGAGCAAAGGGAGTTCATGAAAAATATGCAAGGGCAATATGACTGGCCAAAAATAAAAGCTAATATTTTGGCAGTAAGCTTTGACCAAATGCTTTACAGATTACTAAAGCAGCAAGGAAAATCGCGAGGAAGAAGATGTCAATAAAGCTAAGGATCGTGAAGTTATCAAGACCTTATCAGATATGAGAGAAATAATGGCAGATATGCGCGCTAAACGTCTGAAGATGAAAATCATGATGGTCAAGGCAAAGGGAACTAAAAGAAAGGGGAAAGAGGTTGTTGTGGAAAGCAGCAGCGACAGGGAGAGTGAGGAAGAGGAACCACCCAAGAAACTGAAAAAAGTCAAGAGGAAGGCTTTGAATCAGATTCGATGGGGACAAGGGACTTCCAAGAAGCAAGGGAAGAATGGTGAAAATGGTGAAAACGACGGAAATGCCCAAGCGCAGCTTGATCAATCCCAACCCGGCCCAAGTTAGCAACAAGCTGGAGGGGGTCGTGGGCATGGGAATTTTGGTGGACAAGGTAACTTGGTCAAAGACCTTACATGTAAGTATTGCGTCCAGAAGGGACATGTTATGCGATTTTGTCAACTCCTCGCCAAAGACGAGGCAGACAAGATCGTGTATACTACCATTCGCGGGGACGTATTCGATTTTAAAGGTAATATGATCGATCCTGATATCGAAGGAGGCATTAGGAAAGAAACTTTCCAACGAATTGGGAAAAGTTTGCCAGGTACCTTTAGAATGGCATCGCCTGAAGAAGAAGAATTCTTCAGAATGGAGAAAGTTTTTCAATCTTTACAGATTGATGACTCGGAGGTGGAATTGAGAGAACTGTCAGAACAAGGAGAAATGCTCATCCAACAGGCGCAGAAGGTGACCGAAAAAATAAAAAAATGTCGAGACACGGTCGTTCAACTTTGTCTTGACATGGATGAATAATGGTCAGGTCTACCTAATGTATACCTATTTGGAGGATGGGATGTACATGATAATACCTCTCCAATTGTACTTGAATCTTCATCTGGTCCTAGATCCATGGCCGCTAATGTGGTTTCGCGACCTGTACTTAAGCGAGCAGCCCCGACGACATTGCCACAAGTGCGAAGAACTCGAAAGGCCTTAAGTAAGGAGACAGCTGCAAGAGGTACATCAAGGCAACCAGTAGAAGAAGTCCTTGTTCCTGATGATGAAGAAAACAATTCAGATAAGGAGGATGAGAGACTGCGTGCCGAAGATGAGCGGCAAGTAAAACAGCGGGCTTCGGAGCAAGATGTTGAGAAAAGAAAGGAGGCAGTCGAGGAAGAGGAGCCTCGACGTAAGAAGAATATTTACATAATTCCTGTTGAGAAGGGATTTGACATTGAGCAGATCGTTGATCGTATGTTGAAAAGGCTGCGTGACTTGGTCACGCTAAAGGAATTTTTGGCGGCATCTCCAAAGATTTGCAACGAGCTGAAACAGAGACTAACGCGAAGGAAGGTAATGATCATTAAATTTGGAGACATCATTCCTCTAGAGGCTAATTGGGCACCTGCGGGAACCAAAATGAACTGGCGATGTGTTGTCACTGGTCTCCTACAAACGCATGTTGGACAAGGTGAATTTACTGCCGTGATGCATGACGGTGCTGAAATGAATATCATACGAGAAAAGAAAGTCATGGAGGCAGGAATCCGGATTAATCGAGTTGATACAAGATTCCTTATAGGCGCAAGTGGATCAACTGTCTTCTGTGGCATGGCTAACGACGTCATGGTCTCAGTAGGAAGGGTGAAAGCTCGTTCCTACTTCAATGTCCTGCCCAGAGTTGAGCATGAGGTCTTGCTGGGAAGACCATTTCAATGCAGAACCGAGAGCATAATTATTAATAAGCATGATGACTCCATGTTTGTCGCTTTGTGTAACCCTGTGTGTGGATATTATGAAGTGATAAAATGCGAAAAACATAGGGCCTGAAAACTCGAGGAACCGGCTTAATCCTGGATGCTACTCTTTCCCAGAGTTAGAAAGACTCAGGAAAGAGAAAGAGTCATTTGATGGTTTTGATGAGCGAAGGGAATTTTCTATTGCCTTGTCAGACGTCTCGCAGGCAATAGATTTTTTATCAACAGGAGTCTTAGTTGATCCGGGGTTGGTGCAGGCATTAACTAATATGATATCAGATGTGGGAGGTACAAGAAGTATGACTTTGACATATCGATTGGATGCACCTCAGAAGTGAGTGAGCAGGGTCTTTTTTTAGAGGACGGAAACTTGACGAGAGATCGAAGCGCAAGCATAAGAAAGTAGGAATGAAAGCACAACCTGTACCTGTCTTGATCACTCAGGACCAAGAAATTTATTACGAAGAAGAAAGAGAGTGAATCAAGATAATGAAGATGAAGGCTGAGGAAGGACGGTGTCGATTGACACACGACAGAGTCAAGGAAATGATCATTGGAGACGATGAATTTCTTACTAAAGCAGAAAATGACCTCCTCATTAGTACTTTAAAGGACATACATATGGCGTATGTCTTTGATGACAGCGAACGTGGAAGGTTGGATGTTGATATGATCCATATGGTCAGAATACAAACGGTACCGCACGAACCATGGAATAGAAGAGGTCCACGATATCCAAATCCAGACGATCACCACAAGGTGATTGAGTATCTGGATGGGAAAATTCAGACGAAAGTGGCAGAGTATTCTTATGGTCCGTATGCATCTCCTTGGTTTTGTTTTATCAAACCAAACGGCGTCCTCAGATAGGTCCAGAACCTGCAAAGATTGAATGCAGTGACGCTTTGAGATGCGGGTGGGCTTCCACATGCAGATCAAATGTCAAAATCTTGTGCAGGTAGATCCATCATAACATTGATTGATTTGTATTCAGGTTATGATCAATTTCCCTTGTATACAGCGGATAGATCGATGGTGACAATGCATACACCTAGGGGATTGATCCATATGTGTTCAGCACTTCAAGGTTGGACAAATGTCGTCGCTATTGTACAGCGGTATATGATGAGGGTCATGCAGTCGCTCTGTCCAGACGTGACATAACTATATATTGATGATTTGGTCATTCAGGACCCTCGTGTAAAAGACGAGACGGAGGAGTTACCAGGCAGTCCCAAGTTTGTCTGGGAACATATTCGCAATGTGGTAAAGGTCATGCAAAAGCTGAAGTAGTACAACCTCACAGCCAGCGGTGTCAAGTCCACGCACTGCATGTGAAAGGTGATAATTTTGAGATTCCTTTGCGATAAGAAAGGTCGTCGGCCAGATACAAAGAAGACGAACAAAATTTTGGAGTGACCAACTCCTTTCAAATTCATCACTGATGTACGAAGTTTTCTTGAGACTTGTGGGTTTTGGCGTATCTTTATCCGGAGGTTTGCAGCAAGGGTAGAACATTTGAGGAAATTGGTACGCAAAAACCAAGACTGGGAATGGGAACCCAAGCAGCAGGCAGTAGTAGACGACATGAAGGCTGCATTTCGAGAAGGTGGAATGATTCTCGACGTTCCTTGCTTTGACAATGATCCAAGTCGACCCTTCATCGTGGGAACAGACGCAGGACCTACTATTTTGGGTGGTGTAATAATTCAGAAAGATGAAGGAGGACAAGAAAAACCTTTGAGATTTGAAAGTTGGACCTTGAATATTGTTGAGCGTAATTATTCCCAATTCAAGAAAGAAATACTTATTGTCCTTCATTGTCTTCGTACATTCAGGAACTATGTATTTGAAAAATGTTTTGTTCTGCGAGTGGATCCGACTGCTCTGGCTCAATCATGAAGAAATTATTCCCATCAGATCCAACTGTCGCTCGTAACATATATATGGATGTTTGATTTTGAAATCGAGCGTATTTCCGGTACTCAGAACCGGGCAGATGGGTTGAGCCACATCGAATGGGATTCGTCTAAGGATCAGGCGGAAGACCTAATCCTTGTGTACAGCTTCCTTGATAAGGAGGAACATCGGCTAAGTATTAATTTTGTTAAGTACTTAGAAAATGCTTCTTTTTTATCTGGAAACTTTGTTTGGAATGCACCTAATTCTTATCAGGTACGTTCTGAACTATTTACAGGTGAAGCTTTTATTGAAGAAGATCCATGGGGAGAGAGGACATCAGAACAAATGATGAGTTTTGCATTATCTGACTCTATCAGTATTACAGATGAATCTCTGACGATCGAGTGAGGTCACGAGCAAGTTCACAAAGCCTCTAGAACTTGTGGGGGCTTGTTATTCCTCGAATCCTCGTGAATTCCTTGATTTAGGAAGATCATCTCGAGATGATGCCAGAAGAAGGAGGGAGTAGTGGGATCAAGGAAGCTTTCCGTAAAAGTGAATATGATGGAATCTATCCAAAAATTGAATTGTGGTTGAATGGGGAAATTGATGAAGGAGAGATCGATCCAGAAGTTCGCTTGAAAAGTAAGGATTTTGTTGTCAGGTTTGACCATCTCTTCAAGAAGTCAGGCAATGGTATTCCAAGGAGAGTGGTATGTAGATTAACCAGGCAGCTTGATGTGATTGCCGCTCTGGATGATGGAATAGCAGGCGGTCACAGATCGGCACGAGTCACATTACAAAAAATTCAACATCTTTACTTCTGGGAAGGGATGGGGAAAATGGTTGTTGACTTTTGTAGTTCCTGCGTCCTTCAAGTCTCTCTCTCTCTCTCTCTCTCTCTCTCTCTCTCTCTCTTTCTCTGCCACCGCTCCCTTTCCTCTCTCTCTCTCTCTCTCTCTCTCTCTCTCTCTCTCTCTCTCTCTCTCTCTCCGCCATTGCTCTCTTTCCTCCATTCATCGTCGCTATGCATCTCCGTCATCTGCAGTCTTCTTGCTCGCGAGCTCCCTCCTTCATTTTCTTTCACCGCCCTCCGTTTCTTCTCAATCCTTCTCGCCATATCGAGTGCTAGCCAGCACTCTTGCTCGACTTCGGAGGCAAAAAGGCCGCGGGCTTTTTCTCTTTCCCTCTCAGCCTCCTCTTCGAGTGACTTTGGGTTCTCTCTTTCCTTCTCAAGGTACCTCTCCGCCTCCCTGTCCCGTTCCCTATCCTTCTCCTCTTCAAGTCGTTGTCTCTCCTCTTCCTCCATATCTACTTGAAGCTTTCACGCGTATCTAAGTTGCCATAGGTGCCTACCACATGTGCACTTGGCTCCATGCACAACCTCCCTTCTAGAGAACAGGCTGTCGTCGGGTCATTGTATGTTAAAGGGGTTTATGGACCCTCCCTCGACACGGCTCATGTTGCTCCTCCACCTTGCCTCGTTGTCACGCACCATGGTGTTGGGGGGGGGGGGGGGGGGGGGGGGGGGGGGGAGAGAGAGAGAGAGAGAGAGAGAGAGAGAGAGAGAGAGAGAAAGAGAGAGTGTAGGACGGAGACAGAGACAGATAGAGCGATGGAGAGAGAAAGATAGGCTGTGGAGCAGCAACGTAGAGGAGTTCACTTAGCAGCAGCATAGACGAGTTGGAGTTTGACATGCTCCATACTCGGCTTGGTCAACGTTTTATACAGTAAACGTTGACCTGGCTCTTGCTCCGGGTTGTGCGTTGACCTGAGCTTGGGCCCAGGCAGGTACCCATGTTGACGTGAGTGTGGACCTGGACGTGTTCTCAGGTTTACATGGGCTTGTACCAGGACCTCGCCCAAGGGGTTAAAAAAAAAAAAAAAAAAAAAAAAAAAGGCAGACAAACATCTGTTTGATTCTATGTCTGCCTGTCTGTGTGTCTTAACCTGTGCAAGGATGCAGACAGGCAAGCAGGCAGAGAGGCAGGCAGACTGGCAGACTGACACGCAGACAAACACGACGACAGACAGGCAGACACATAGGCAGACAGTTAGGCAAATAGGATTGAATTTTTTTATTTTATTTTTTTTTAGGGACCCCCTCTTTCAAAGCAAAGGTCAAAGTTCTAGCCCATGTCCAGTCGCACACGTTGCCCTGGCGTTGGTCTGCCCCTGCAACCCCGTTGACTTGGGTCTGTGCCCGACGCTGTTTTCAGGTCTACCTACGGTCGGACTTCGGATTGGACCTGTGGTTGGACCTGTGGACGCACGGAGGCAGGACCTGGTCTTGCCCTGTACCTCCATTAACCTGTGTCCAGGCCCGCGTGCGGTGAGGTTTACGTAAGTCGCCTCGCAGGCCTGTGTCGATGTTGACTAGGCCTGTGTCGTGTTGACGTGCACCTTGGGAGGCAGGCAGACAGACAGAGAAACAGGTAGGAAGGCAGGGAAAGACGGAGACAGGGAGGCAGGCATGGCAGATAGGCACGCAGACATGCAACACGCAGGCAGGCAGGCAGGCATGCAAGAGTCAGGCAGGCATGCAGCGGATAAGCAGGCAAGCATGCAGCAGACGGGCACGCAGGCAGACAGACATGCAGCAGTCCGGCAGGCATGCAGCATGCAGGCAGGCAAGCATGCAGCAGACGAACATGCGGTGGTTGACGTGGACCTTGGGAACATGCAACACAAAGGCAGGCAGGCAGGCAGCAGTCAGACAGGCATGCGGCAGACAGGCAGGTAGGCATGCAGCAGACAGGCAGGCTAGCACGCAGCACGCAGACATGCAGCACACAGGCAGGCAGCACGCACGCAGGCAGGGATGCAGCATTCAGGCAGGCATGCAGCAGACACGCAGGCAGGCATGCAGCAGACAAGCAGGCAAGCATGCAGAGACTTTGCTTCGGTCCACGATCTGGACTTTGGCTGGGTCAACAACCTAACTGAACCACCCAACCACTCAATCACCCAGCCACGCTACCACCCAACCACCCAGCCACCCAACCACACAACGAACCACCTAACCGAACCACCCAACGATCAATCCAGCCAACCATGTAAACCAATCACCCAACGACCCAACGAAGCGCATAATCCTACCACCCAACGATCAGTGGCAGACGTTTACTTTTTATCGGTTTTTTTTTTTTTTTTTTTTTTTTTTTTTTTTTTAATTTGACCCGCCCCTTTAAATCAGAGGTCCAAGTTCTAACCCGTGTCTAGTCCCACACGTTGCCCTGGCGTTGGTCTGCCCCTGCAACCCCGTTGACCTGGGTCTGTGCTCGACGCTGTTTTCATGTCTACCTAGGGTCGGACTTGGGATTGGACCTGTGGTTGGGCCTGTGGACGCACGGAGGCAGGACCTGGTCTCGCCCTGTACCTCCATGGACCTGTGTCTGGGTCCGCCAGTGGTGAGGTTTACATAAGCCACCTCGCAGGCCTGTGTCGATGTTCACTGGGGATGTGCTCTGTTGACGGGGACCATGAGATGTACGGCTGACGCACCCAGCTAGAGCGGCGAAGGGATGACTCGACCTCGCACCATCTCCGTGGCTCACGGAAACTATTCCGCTTTTGTCCCTAAGTTGTCTCAGTGTTTTGTTATGATGTGTAACTCCTGCGTGACATGGCCGGGAGGGCCCTCGCTCACGCGGGGGCGGATGCGCTCGACAGGTGGCGCCGTTGCCGGGGAATACAGCAAACTAACGTTATCCATGGTGGAACGACACTCGGGTAAGAAAATGTTAAAAAATTATAATTTAGGCTTGTTTTTGTTTTGTTTGCAAATGAAGAACCAGAAAAACTTTACAAGGATTGTAAAACAAGAACTAGTTGATTGAAATAAGAATGTATGGTGTTATTGTTCTTGTGTAACTCAAGATGTCTGGCGGAAACGGCAACGAGAGGAGAAATGACATCAAGGAATTGTCCAGGGTGATTCAAGAATCATTCCCACAAAGGGTTCAATTTCCAAAAGTGGATGTGCCTTTGTTTGATGGCAACAACGCCTCTGGTTGGGCTGAAAAATTCGAGCAACTGGCAAGTTGTCGAGAATGGACTGACGCAGAGATGTTGCAGAAAGTAAAACGATATTGTAAGGTCAGATATAAGGAGCAGTTGATGGCCCTGGTGAGCGAATCAAAAGATTGGGCTAAGTTCAAAGAAAAATTGTTGAACAAATATCAGCTCGAGGATCAGCTATTAGATCTGGCTGATCTCCGAAAAGTTCTCCGACGAATGTTCGGGTCAACTAGACAATTCTTGACGAAGTTTGAACGAATCGCTCGACTGATTCCTGATTTGTCAGATAAAGACAAATGCATCATCTTTCTGGATAACTTCTCAGAAGTCGAGCAAAGGGAATTCATGAAAGATATGCAAGGGCAATATGACTGGCAAAAAATAAAAGTTAATATTTTGGCAGGAAACTTTGACCAAATGCTTTACAGATTACTAAAGCAGCGCAAGGAATATCGTGAGGAAGAAGATGTCAATAAAGCTAAGGATCGTGAAGTTTTCAAGACCTTATCAGATATGAGAGAAATAATGGCAGATATGCACGTTGAACGTCTGAAGATGGAAATCATGATGGTCAAGGCAAAGGGAAGTAAAAGAAAGGGGAAAGAGGTTGTTGTGGAAAGCAGCAGCGACAGCGAGAGTGAGGAAGAGGAACCACCCAAGAAACTGACAAAAGCCGAAAGGAAGGCTTTGAATCAGATTCAAGGGGGACAAGGGACTTCCAAGAAGCAAGGGAAGAATGGTGGAAATGGTGGAAACGACAGAAATGCCCAAGCGCAGCCTGATCAATCCCAACCCGGCCCAAGTCACCAAAAGGTTGGAGGGGGCCGTGGGCGGGGGCGTGGAAATTTTGGTGGACGAGGTAACTGGGCCAAAGACCTTACATGTAAGTATTGCGTCCAGAAGGGATATGTTATGCGATTTTGTGAACTCCTCGCCAAAGATGAGGTAGACAAGATTGTTTATACTACCATTCGTGGGGAAGTATTCGATTTTAAAGGTAATATGATCGATCCTGATCTTGAAGGAGGCGTGAGGAAAGAAGCTTTCCGACGAATGGGAAAAAATTTGCCAGCTACCTTTAGAATGGCATCGCCTGAAGAAGAAGAATTCTTTAGAATGGAGAAAGTCTTTCAATCTTTACAGATTGATGACTCAGAGGTGGAATTGGGAGAATTGACGGAACAAGGAAAAATGCTCATCCAACGGGCGCAGAAGATGACCGAAAAAATAAGAAAATGTCGAGACACGGTCGTTCAACTGTGTCTCGACATGGATGAAGAATGGTCAGGTCTACCTAATGTGTACCTATTTGGAGGATGGGATGTACCTGATAATACCTCTCCAATTGTACTTGAATCTTCATTTGGTCTTAGATCTATGGCTGCTAATGTGGTTTTGCGACCTGTACTTAAGTGAGATGCCCCGACGACATTGCCACAAGTGTGAAGAACTCGAAAGGCCTTAAGCAAGAAGACGGCTGCAGGAGGTACGTCAAGGCAACCAGTAGGAGAAGTCCTTGCTACTGATGATGAAGAAAGCAATTCAGATAAGGAGGATGAGAGACTGCGTGTCGAAGATGAGCGGCAAGCAAAATAGCGCGCTTCAAAGCAAGATGTTGAGAAAAGACAGGAGGCAGTCGAGGAAGAGGAGCCTCGACGTAAGAAGAATATTTATACGATTCCTGTTGAGAAGGGAATTGACATTGAGCAGATCGTTGATCGTATCTTGGGAACTCAGCGTGACTTGGTCACGCTAAAGGAATTTCTGGCGGCATCTCCAAAAATCCGCGATGAGATCAAACAGAGACTAACGCGAAGGAAGATAATGATCGTTAAATTGGGAGACATCATTCCTCCAGAGGCTAATTGGGCACCTGCGGGAACCAAAATGAACTGGCGATGTGTTGTTACTGGTCTCCTAAAGGTGCATGCTGGACAAGGTGAGTTTACTGCCCTGATGGATGACGGTGCTGAAACGAATATCGTACGAGAAAAGGAAGTCATGGAGGCAGGAATCCGGATTAATCGAGCTGATACAGGATTCCTTATAGGCGCAAGTGGATCAACTGTCTTTTTTGGCATGCCTAGCGACGTCATGGTCTAAGTAGGAAGGGTGAAAGCTCGTTCCTACTTCTATGTCCTGCTCAGAGTTGAGCATGAGGTCTTGCTAGGAAGACCATTTCAATGCAGAACCGAGAGCATAATTATTAATAAGCATGATGGCTCCATGTTTTTCGCTTTGTGTGACCCTGTGTGTGGATATTATGAAGTGATAAAATGCGAAAACACAGGGTCTTAAAATTCGAGGAATCGGTTTAATCCCGGATCCTACTTTTTTCCAGAGTCAGAAAGACTTAAGAAAGAGAAAGAGTCATTTGATAGTTTTGATGAGCCAAGGAAATTTTCTATTGCCTTGCCAGACATCTCGCACGTAATAGATTTTCTATCAACAGGAGTCTCAATTGATCCGGGGTTGGTGAAGGCATTAACTAATATGATAGCAGATGTGGGAGGTGCAGAAAGTATGACTTTGACATATCGATTGGATGCACCTCAGGAGGTGAGTACTCTGGTTATGCCCGCATCAAGGCAGGGTCGTTTTTTAGAGGACGAAAACTTGTCGAGGGATCGAAGCGCAGGCATAAGAAAGTAGGAGTGAAAGCACAGCCTGTGCCTGTCTTGATGCCTCAGGACCAATAAATTTACTACGAAGAAGAAAGAGAGTGGATCAAGATAATGAAAATGAAGGCTGAGGAAGTTCCGTATCGATTGACATCCGACAGAGTCAAGGAAATGATCATTGGAGACGATGAATTTCTTACTAAAGCAGAAAATGACCTCCTCGTTAGTACTTTAAAGGACATACATATGGTGTATGCCTTTGATGACAGCGAACGTGGAAGGCTGGATGTTGTTATGATCCCTATGATCAGAATACATACGGTACCGCACGAGCCATGGAATATAAGATATCCACAATATCCAAATATAGACGATCACCGCAGGGTGATTGAGTATCTGGATGAAAAAATTCAGACGAAAGTGTCAGACTATTCATATGGTCCATATACATCTCCTTGGTTTTGTTTTATCAAACCAAACGGCGTCCTCAGATAGGTCGAGGACCTGCAAGATTGAATGAAATGACGGTTCGAGATGCGGGTGGGCTTCCATATGCAGATCAACTGTCAGAATCTTGTGCATGTAGATCAATTATAACATTGATTGATTTGTATTCAGGTTATGATCAATTCCCCTTGTATACAGTGGATAGACTGATGACAGCAATGCATACGCCTAGGGGATTGATCCATGTGTGTTCAGCACCTCAAGGTTGGACAAATGTCGTCGCTATTGTACAACGGTATATGATGAGGGTCATGCAGCCGATCTGTCCAGACGTGACCTCACGATATATCGATGATTTGGTCATTCTAGGACCTCGTGTAAAAGACGAGACGGAGGTGTTACCAGGCATTCGCAAGTTTGTCTAGGAACATATTCGCGATGTGGTAAAGTTTCTGCAAAAGCTGAAGGAGTACAACCTCAGAGCTAGCGGTGTCAAATCCAGGCACTGCATGCAAGAGGCGACAATTTTGGGATTCCTTTGCGATAAGAAAGGTCGTCGAAGACGAACAAAATTTTGGAGTGGCCAACTCCTTTCAAATCCATCACTGATGTACGAAGTTTTCTTGAGACTTGTGGGTTTTGGCGTATCTTTCTCCGGAGGTTTGCAGCAAGGGTAGAACATTTGAGGAAATTGGTACTAAAAAACGAAGACTGGGAATAGGGACCCAAGCAGCAGGCAGGAGTAAACGACATGAAGGCTACATTTCGAGAAGGTGGAATGATTCTCGGCGTTTCTTGCTTTGACAATGATCCAAGTCGACCCTTCTTCGTGGAAACAGACGCAGGACCTACTGCTTTGGGTGGTGTTCTGATCCAGAAAGATGAAGGAGGACAAAAAGGTCCTTTGAGATTTGAAAGTCGAACCTTGAATACTGCTGAGCGTAATTATTCCTAATTCAAGAAAGAAACACTTGCTGTCCTTCATTGTCTTCGTACATTCAGGAAGTATGTACTTGGAAGACGTTTTCTTCTGCGAATGGATCCGACTGCTCTGACTCAATCATTGAGAAATTATTCTCCATCAAATCCAACTGTCGCTTGGTGGTTAACATATATATGGATGTTTGATTTTGAAATCGAGCGTATTTCCGGTACTCAAAACAAGGCAAATGGATTGAGCCGCATCGAATGGGATTCATCTGAGGATCAGGCGAAAGACTCAATCCCTCTGGACAGCTTCCTCGATAAGGAGGAACATCGACTAAGTATTAATTTTGTTAATTACTTCGAGAATGCTTCTTTTCGATCTGGAAAATCTGTTTGAAATGCATCTAATTCTTATCAGGTACGTTTTGAACTGGTTACAGGTGAAGCTTTTATTGAAGAAGATCCATGGGGAGAGAGGACATCAGAACAAATGATGAGTTTTGCATTATCTGACTCTATCAATATTACAGATGAATCTCTGACGATCGCGGGAGGTCACGAGCAAGTTGACAAAGCCTCTAGAACTTGTGGGGGCTTGTTATTCCCCGTGAATTCCTTGATTCAGGAAGATCATCACGAGATGATGCCAGAAGAAGGAGGGAGTAGTGGGATCAAGGAAGTTTTCCGTGAAAGTGAATGTGATGAAATCTATCCGAAAATTGGATTGTGGTTGAATGGGGAAATTGATGAAGGAGAGATCGATCCAGAAGTTCGCTTGAAAAGTAAGGATTTTGTTGTCGGGTTTGGCCATCACTTCAAAAAGTCAGACAATGGTATTCCAAGGAGAGTGTTATGTGGATTAACCAGGCAGCTTAATGTGATTGTCGCTCTGCATGATGGAATAGCAGGCGGTCACAGATCGGCACGAGTCACACTGCGAAAAATTCAACATCTTTACTTCTGGAAGGAATCGAAAAAATGGTTGTTGACTTTTGTAGTTCCTACGTCTTTCAAGTCTCTCTCTCTCAAAGCAGAGGTCAAAGTTCTAGCCCATGTCCAGTCCCACACGTTGCCCTGGCGTTGGCCTGCCCCTGCAAACCCGTTGACCTGGGTCTGTGCAAGACGCTGTTTTCAGGTCTACCTAGGGTTGGACTTGGGATTGGACCTGTGGTTGGACCTGTGGACGCACGGAGGCAGGACCTGGTCTCGCCCTGTACCTTCATTGACCTGTGTCTGGGCCCGCATGTGGTGAGGTTTACGTAAGCCGCCTCGCAGGCCTGTGTCGATGTTGACTGGGCCTGTGTCATGTTGACGTGCACCTTGGGAGGCAGGCAGACAGACAGAGAGACAAATAGGAAGACAGGGAAAGACGAAAACAGGGAGGCAGGCATGGCAGACAGGCAAGCAGACATGCCACACGCAGGCAGGCAGGCATGCAAGAGTCAGGCAGGCATGCAGCGGACAGGCAGGCAAGAATGTAGCAGACGGGCACGCAGGCAGGCAGGCATGCAGCAGTCAGGCAGGCATGCAGCAGACAAGCAGGCAAGCATGCAGCAGATGGGCACGCGGCGGTTGACGTGGACCTTGGGAACATGCAGCACGCAAGCAGGCAGGCATGCAACAGTCAGGCAGGCATGCAACAGACAGGCAGGCGGGCATGCAGGCAAGCATGCAACAGGCAAACATACAGCACATAGGCAGGCAGCACGCAGGCAGGCATGCAACAGACAGGCAGGCAAGCATGCAGCAGACATGCAGGCAAACATGCAGAGACTTTGCCTGGGTCTACGGTCTGGACTTTGGCTGGGTCCACAACCTAACTGAACCACCCAACCACGCTACCACCCAACCACCCAACGAACCACCTAATCGAACCACCCAATGATCAATCCACCCAACCATGTAACCCAATCACCCAACCACCCAACCACCCAACGAACCGCCTAATCCTACCACCCAACGATCAGTGGCAGACGTTGACTTTTTGTTGTTGTTGTTGTTGTTTTTTTTTTTTTTTTTTTTTTTTTGGACCCGCCCCTTTCAAAGCAGAGGTCCAAGTTCTAACCCGTGTCCAGTCCCACATGTTACCATCGCGCTTGTCTGCCCCTGCAACCCTGTTGACCTGGGTCTGTAGGACCTGCTCTCGCCCTGTACCTCCGTTCACCTGGGTATGGGCCCCCGTGTGGTGAGGGCACACCTGTTGATCAGCTGACCGGGCTGGTCCACGCCCAGGTGCAAGTCCTTCCCGGTGTCTAGTTCTAGGGGTTGACCTGCCCCTGATCTGCGGGTCTGTACCCGTTGACATGGGTCTGGGCCTGGGTTGTTGATTGGGTCTGCGCCTGTACGCAGGCAGGCACGAATGCAGCAGACAGGCAGGCAAGCATGTAGCAGACGGGCACGCAGGCAGGCAGGCAGGCAGCAGTCAGGCAGGCATGCAGCAGACAGGCAGGCAAGCATGCAGTAGACGGGCACGCGGCGGTTGACGTGGACCTTGGGAACATGCAGCACGCAGGCAGGCATGCATGCTGCAATTAGGCAGGCTTGCAGGAGACAGGAAGGCAGACATGCAGCAGACAGGCAGGCAAGCATGGAGCAGGCAGACATGCAGCACATAGGCAGGCAGCACGCAGGCAGGCATGCAGCAGTCAGGCAGGCATGCAGCAGACAGGCAGGCAGGCATGCAACATACAGGCAAGCAAGCATGCAGCAGACAGACAGACAAGCATGCAGAGACTTTGCCTGGGTTTACGGTCTGGACTTTGGCTGGATCAACAACCTGACTGAACCACCCAACCACTCAATCACCCAGCCACAATACCACCCAGCCACCCAACGAACCACCTAACCGAACCACCCAACGATCAATCCACCCAACCATGTAACCCAGTCACCCAATCACCCAACGAACCGCCTAACCCTACCACCCAACGATCAGTGGCAGAAGTTGACTTTTTGTTGTTGCTGTTTTTTTTTTTTTTTTTTTTTTTTTTGCCCCGCCTCTTTCAAAGCAGAGGTCCAAGTTATAGCCCGTGTCCAGTCCCACACGTTGCCCTGGCGCTGGTCTGCCTCTGCAACCCCGTTGACCTGGGTCTGTGCCCGATGCTGTTTTTTGGTCTACCTAGGGTCGGACTTGGGCTTGGACCTGTGGTTGGACTTGTGGACGCATGGAGGCAGGACCTGGTCTCGCCCTGTACCTCTGTTGACCCGGGTCTGGGCCCGCGTGTGGTGAGGGCACACATGCTAACCAGCTGACCGGGCTGGTCCACGCCTAGCTGCAAGTCCTGTCCGGTGTCCA